CCATAGCGTTAGTCACCGTGCCCCCCTGCTCGCCTCGGCCGCTTCGACCGAGCCCTCTGGAGCGGCGGACTGCCAGAAACCACCTGGGACGCCTCGAGGCGCAGCCATGCGTCTAACAAATACTGGGCCGGCCAGGCCTACATTGGCAGCACCCGGAGAAATGAATTGCCCAACCTGGCTGAAACAAATGCTCCGAGGGCAGATGCTTGCCAGCTGCGCGCCAGCGAACGTCCTATTGGTAGCAGCCTCTCTGTAAAGAGAGAGAGCGCGGCGAATCCATTTCTTGTCCAGGGTACGGGCAAATAATAGTTCAGACCAAGCATCCTGCCTACACTCGGTAGTGCCATCTAAATAGTCAACCTCTGTCATGCGCTCGTTGGTGGAATCGTCTGCAGACGAGGTGCCGACGGAGTCGGTCGGCTTGAAGAAGTCGTCGCGGGGCCCCCCGCGCGCTCGGGCACGCGCCCCGCGACCGTGAAAACGCGTCCCCTGCCCGCGGATCTATGAGATGTCGCGATCCTCCACGGCCGCCTCGAAGCCGCCCCCGCCCGCGATGTTCTCGCGCATCTCGCGCTCGGCCGCGCGCGCGGCCAAACGTCGGAGTTGTTGATGATGCTGGGTCGCCCGACTCGCGGGCCCCCGCGCGCCGCTCGCAGCGCTGGGGATCCACCTCGTAGATCTTCTCGAAGGCGTAGCCCTCAAACCTTCCGAACGTTGCGCGTTCCGGGCGGCCTGGGGCGCCGTTGCCGATGATGCCCTCGGACTGGGGCCTCGCCCAGCGCCCCTGGCAGTCGTCGCGCGCCCACCGCAGGGTCTCGTTGTTGCCCCGATGGCGCGTGGCCGTTTCGGGGCGCGCGCAAGCGGCCTGGTCGATCTTCTCGGTGCCCGAGCCGCCAGGGCCCACCCTCCTGCCCGCCGCGAACCACTCCGCGCTGCTGATCTTCAGAACTCGGGAGAAAGGTCGCGGGTCGCGAGGCCGTTGCGCGGATGATGCCGCCTCCTGAGCCAGGCCCACGGCGCCCCCGAGCAGGTTCGCGCGGGCGTTCGCCCCGACGCGGGCCCCCGCGCGGCGCCCCATGGTCACGCGGTCCAGAATGGAGAACGGCTTCAGACAGATCTGCGTCCATTTCCACACACGTCCGCTTCTCTGGGGTCATCGCGGGCTGACTGGACCTCGTCAGAGGTTCCTGCTGCGGCCCCTTCTTGGCGAGGGCGCGCCCCGCGCAGCTCCACGTCGCACGGGGCCCAGGGAGTAGACAGTTCGCTGAGACAGACAGATTCGAGCCGAGGGTGCCTGCGCATTCACGCAGGATGCGGCGCCCTCAGGCTCGACAACTTGGCAGCGCCCCTGACTCTTGGGAGAGACCGTTCAGATTTCCCTTTTTCTCTGCCAGCCATCCTCGGGAAGATCGAAAATATGGATCGCGATGCGTTTGCCTGCCCCTGCCTCGCGCGCTCGCGACTGGCTGCCGTCGAACGCCGTCCAAGTGATGGCGCCACGTGGCAAGTCAAGAACCATGCCAAGCTGTCTGAGCATCTCCGCTGGAAGTAACAGGGTACATCGCAGGCAATTGAGAACGCCGCAAGAGTACCGCAATTCCGTGCCACGGCAAGGAGCGGGCTCCATCTGGGGAGAACTTCGGCAGATCCTCCGACGCCCATGGCGTCCATTACCGGAGTGGGTATATGCATGGGCTCCAGACCGTAGGCATCTCCCAGATATTTCACCATTTGCTCGCACTGATCCTTGCCGCCTGCTCCATGCTGAGCTCCAGCGCCCACCAAACCAACGCCCGAAACTCATGTGAACCAGCAGTCCAATCATAACCTGATCTCCAATGTCGGCAGTCGCAAAGATAGGAAAGGCGAAGGAACTGATTCCAGGCTGAATCGTAGGCCCCCGTTGACAAACGCCATGCGGAGCATCGTCTGCTTCGAGGGGAACTGCTTGGAAGCCGCCGGAGCCTGCTTGTCGCTGGCGCCCTCGCTCGTCTGGCTCGTTCGCACAATCCCGAGCCCAATGCCTCATCTCCCCGCGTCGGGCACGTTTCGAGCGACTCATCAACTTACTTTTGGTCCACCGCTTCGGTCGGGCATGCCCGGCGCGTTTCCCTCGACGTTTTCCTCTTTTCCCCGGCGGCCTTCGGACTGCCCCCTTGGGGGTTGCTGTTGAAAGAAGCCTCGTCCAGGCTTCCGTTTGTGTAAGTACTGTCGTACCTGGCTGTAGTTCGCATAGATGGCGATGGCCTCATCCTCTTCTAGAACCACATGGTCGGGCAAGTCCCCAGCTACGAAGAATACATCGTCGTCGTCCATGCACTTGATGGCCTCAGCCATGATCTCCTCTTCCTCATAGGACTCGGGCAAAGTAAACAGAGGGAAGCCCACTGGAAATCCATGGGAAGTCGTCGAGATCCGACCCCTTACCCTAGCATCCGTCATCGTCTCCTTGATACCAGAGAAAATGCGAGGTAGAACTTATGCCATGGATGCGATGGCCGCCTTTGCCAGAAGGTAGTGATCGTTCAAGCTTCCGAAGCTTTTCACGCGCCAAGTTGCCCCTCTGTCCACTGCCCAATCGTACCCCGAGCAGCGTCATTGAGTTTGGGTTCTCTCACAAGCACGTGCCCTTTCAAATCTTCTGGCAGGGTCATGTGCTTCTCGAGTTCTCCGAAAAGCACGCGCTTACGCGCGATATGGTTGACAAGGGATTCATCTCGCTTGCGCTTGCTGTCGCCTGCTTAGAAAACTCCCCCAAAAGCCTTCGGCATCCTGCGGTCTTGGTACTCGGCAAAACTCGCTTTGATGCGTTTCACCACAACCTGCCCGCCGTCCTCTGTAAGTTCGTTAATGATGATATCGATGTCGTCTTTGGCATAGCGATGGACAAAATATCCGCAACTCCTTCATGTAAGGGGGCGGGCATCCGGATCCTTTCCATCCCAAGTGGGACGTAGGTCGTTGGGTATCTTTGGGGTCTCATACTGTTCAGGAAATTGTCCCCGTTGGCGATCAGAAGGTTATTTCCCCAATAGGTCGGAGCAAAAGGGGTAAAAAAGGCGTAGCCTGTCCCCGCAGAGGCGTGTTATGCCGATGTGGTGCAGCCGGCGAAACACGTCCCCGCGCAGCCCAACTCGATGAGGATTTTTGCGTATTGGGCTGTGTCTTCGTCGAGGGCTGTGATAACCAGCGGGCCTAATCCTGATCTGACCAGCCCACAGCGCCATCACCTTCCCAAGGAACGTCCTCTCGTCCTCCAGCTCCTGCCCAAGGATCCTGATCTGGTTGTAGCCAAGGACCTGCTGGAAGTTCATACTCTTGAAACTGAGCGTCGTCTGGAGAATCCATGGCGGCACTCGGTGCAATAAGGTTATGATAGTGGACGGGAAGAACGGGAAAATATTCAAGCGTAGGTCGCCCGAAAATCGAATGACAACGGAGTCTTCCTGACTCCCTTCGTGGATCTCAACCAAAGGCTCCGTTGCCACTGTGGCTTGTTCGGGGGTGACTGTATGGACACAGAGACACACGAGGTACAAATTGGGGGACCCGTGCTGGAAGAAAACATTATTGTTCCTTTTACGGAGGCGTGGGCGCGTCCGTCACCGGCGTGCCATGACAGCCCAAGGGCCCTTGTGAGCCGATAGGGCGGCGCACAAGGGAGTACGGAGAGAGGCGCAGGAGGAGGATAGGCCGACAGGAGCTCAGCACCCCCCCCCCCTCCTGTACCCCTTCCCCCCCTCCCACCCCCCTCCACTTCGCCCCCCCCCCCCCCCGTGCTTCCCTCCGCAGCGCTGGCAGCCCACAGCAAGCAGACAGCCCCAGCACGCAGCGGCCCCCGCACACGGGCGAAAAATCATAGCTGACCCACAACTGGTTGCAGTCGAAACGTGCGGGGCGCTTGATCGGCTCCAGTTCAAGATCCGATTCAGTTCCGAAGCGGGACGAGACGCCACGGGACGGAACGTGTTTGGGGCGCACTGGGGGATGCGCCAAGGGACGTGTTAGGGGACGTGGAAAGAAACGCGCCACAAAACGGGCAGGGAAAGCGCCAGGGGACAAACCAGGGAACGCGACACCAGACGAGCAAAGGGACGAACACAGGGACGCGCTGAGGGGGGAGGGGCGTATGCCGTCCCGCTCAGGAGCGTTAGGAACCCACGTGTTCTCACGCATGTCCCGCTCTGGGGCGTTAGGGACCTACGTGTTTCCACGCTTGTCCCGCTCTGGAGCGTCAGTAACCCACGTGGTTTCACGCTTGTCTCGCTCTGGAGCGTCAGGAACTCACGTGGGGTCCATGTGGTTTCACGCTTGTCCCGCTCTGGGCCGTTAAGATTATACGTGCTCTCACGCTTGTGGGGGAATCCTGGGCGTTAGGGGCCCACGGGTTTTCACGCTTGTCCCGCTCTGGGGCGTTAGGAGTCCAAGTGTTCTGACGCTTGTCCCGCTTAGGAACCCATGCGCTTTCACGCTTGTCCCGCTCGGGAGCGTCAGGAATCCACGTGGTTCCCACGCTTGTCCTGCTCGTAAGTGTTAGGAACATTTCGGAACCTGTGTGTTTTCACGCTTGTCCCTCTCTGGGGCGTGAGGAACCCCCGTGTTGTCACGCCCCCAGGGCCACCATTCCTTGTAAACGACAGACCGACCGCACTCCCAGAACCATCTGGGCATCGTGGGGCGCGCAGGCCTTCCAATCGGTGCAAAATAAGCGCTTCGCCTGAGAGATCCTCGGATTTTCGGCACGCAGGGCGCGGCATCCTCGAGCGGGCTCGCACAAAGCTAACATTCTTCCTGCAACACAAGCGAGGGGCTCGAAACATCCTCGAGAAACCTGAGCGCAGGGCGCGCCGCCCTCGAGCGGGCACGCAACAATTCAACACTGTGTCACCTTACGAATTGCAATGCCTCCGAACCTTGTTATCCAGTTGGGATTCTGCGCAAAACGCTCCGCACCCTTTTTACGAAAGAAAGGCGGGGGTCTCCGGACCCCGTTAGGCAACCAGGTTTCACCAAGCGGGCACGCGCGAAGCGCGCATGTGCGTGACGAAATGGGAGTTCACATAGCGCTGTCTACCAAGCGGGAATCTGCCGGCTCTTTGCGAACGTGGCACCGGGGACCAGTTACCACACTAAACAGAAACCCTGGGCCCAGGCCCTTTCCAGGAACAAGGTCGCTCCATCGGAAGGGCCACCCTCACGCGGAGCAGAAGGGCGAGCGATCGAGGCGCCGGTGCCCGTCTGGGCGAGGCGCGCGGGGTCGCAGCCTCGCGTGCCACTGCTGTACCTGCTCTCCCTGAAGAGGCTGGCCAAAGCCCAGCGGTGGAAAATTAGAGAATCGAGCCGAGCCCAGCGCGGGCGGCCATGGCGCCGCCGGGCGAGCGCCTCTCCCCAGAGGCGCCGCTCGCGGCAGCCGCCGACGCCGCGCCCTGCGGCTGGCGCGCCCTGCGACTGGCGCGTCCGCGCCGCGAGGGGCTCAGGCGTCGGCGGGCTGCGCCGGCTGGGCCGGTGCCTGGAGAGGCGCGCTCGCGGCGGGCTCGCCCGGGGTCGGCTCGGCGAGCAGCGCCGCCTGCCTGCTCCACTCCTGTGCGGCCGCGGGGGTCCTCGTCCTCCTCTTCGTTCTCGTCATCGCGGGGGGGGGGGGCGTGCTGCCTGGAGGCGTGGGCGCTGCCGCTTCGATTTTTGTTGCTGGTGCCCGCCGGGGCCAGCACAGCTCGGTGCGGCCCGCGAAGTGCCGCAGAAGGATCGGGGTCCCGGGGCCCTGGTCGTGACTCTTCGCGAAGCTGCGACTCTGTCGCGCGGGTAGCGTGTCGCTCCGCTCCGCGGGGCGGGAGGTTCGGGAGAGCTCGGGACGTCGACGCCTGGGGACCCAGACATGGATGGCGTGTCGCGCCGAAGGGTGGTGGGCCAGAACCAGGGGAGCGACACGCTATCGAAAAGTTCCCGACCGTAGGACTCAGGTAAGAGGAGGACGAGGAGGAGGGGGAGGAGGAGGAGGAGGAGGAGGAGGAGGAGGAGGAGGAGGAGGAGGAGGAGGAGGAGGAGGAGGAAGAGAGGGGAGGAGGAGGAGGAGGAGGAGGAGGAGGAGGAGGAGGAGGAGGAGGAGGAGGAGGAGAAGGAGGAGGAGGAGGAGAGGAGGAGGAGGAGGGGAAGGGGGAGGAAGGGGAGGGGAAGAGGAGGCGGAGGAGGCGGAGGAGGAGGAGGAGGAGGAGGAGGAGGAGGAGGAAGAGGGGGAGGAGGAGGCGGAGGAGGGGAAGGACAAGCTAGGTGCGCTCGCGTCACACCTGACGTCCTACCCCTCCCTCCCATCCCTTACCATGGCGCAGATCTCCGGTCTAGTCGCACAGTCGGATGTCGCGCAGGGCAATGATCGCGAGAAGGTACGCCATGCATGGAAGAGCACGGCATGGCACGGCGCAGAAGAGCACGGCAAAACATAGCATGCCATAGCATGGCGTGGAATTGCGCAGCGAAGCATTGCATCACAAAGCATTGCAACGCAAAGCATGGCATCGCTCAGCGGCGCAGAACACAACACCGCACAGCATGTCATGGCATGGCGCCAGGTTCTTTGGAGGGTAGAAGGATCGTCTTCGAGAGGTCTGGGCCGGTCTGGAGTCGTGGCTCCATGCCTAGCTCCTTGGGCTCTCTGAAAAGCTCCACACAAGGCGGGGCTGATGGAGAGCACCCGCTGGCTCTGCTTCCAACATCGTCTTCTCAAAGCAGAAACGGGGCTCCCGCTCGATATTTCCTGAAAACGACGACGCCCCCAAGTGGAAGCGGAATCACTTCCGATGTTTTTTTTTTCGGGGGGACATTTTTTACATTTTTAAATTTCAGGGCATATTTGCAAAGAAGACCAGCGCTGCAGCGGGAGCACGATCCGGAACGAGCGGAAGCGCGGAAATGAGGCCAGCGCTGCAGCGGGACCACGATTCGGAACGAGAGGAAGCCCGAAAATGAGGCCAGCGCTTCAGCGGGAGCAAACTTAACAAAAACAAGCGAAAACCCGTTTCCTGGGAATCCTGTGCAAAAAACAGTACGCAGAGGGTGGCCGGATATCTTCCTGACGCCATCAGGGGAAAGAGGAGAGTAGTATTCATTAATTAGTGTGTAGTTGTGGAGGAGGAGGAGGAGGAGGAGGAGGAGGAGGAGGAGGAGGAGGAGGAGGAGAACCAGCGCGACACGCTATCCCAAAACTCCCGACTGCGGGGCTCTGGTGGTGATTGTTCGCGATACTGCATTTTTGTCCGCAACGTCGCATTCCGGCTGCTGGACCAAACCATGCATAAGCAACAAAGCCCCTTTGTGGCCCCAAGATCGCCTGCGTGCACGAGGAGGGCTAGATGAACAGCCATGGGAGCACCTCAGGAACAGCGAGCCCCCTCCGAACCCAAAGAGGTCCCCATCCCAGCGTCTTGGCTGTACCGCTGTCAGCTGTCTCAGCTGGCCCCTGACAATCTGGCGGGGGGCCGCTCCGACGCGGCGTTCCTCCTCCTGCTCCTCCTGCTCCTCCTGCTCCTGCTCCTGCTCCTGCTCCTCCTCCTCCTCCTCCTCCTCCTCCTCCTCCTCCTCCTCCTCCAAGCCCCTTTACATCGAGAGATTGCAGGGGGGGGGCTCTCCGCGCACGCGCCGAAGCAGCTTCGGCGGCCGCCACTCGCGGGGATGAGAGCTGCAGTTCAATGGGAGTGGTGATGGTATGTCTTTCTTACGAGTCTTGGGATTTAATCCTATGCATACGTCAGGAGCACGCCTCCCAGAACTCCTGGGGGAAACGAGGAATTTTGATCTGGTTCTTCTCGCAGGCACGCAGCAGGTGGAGCACAACTCTCTGGCCCCTCATGTCCAGAGTTCGAGATGTGCAGGCAGATTGTGTATATCCTCGCCCTTCCACCCGTCGCCGTTCAGCAATCATAGTTGTGGCTGCGCTCTTGCCTTCAGCCCGCAGGTGACCAATCGACACTTACTTCGCACTTGGCCGCCCCCGCCCGAGGCACGAGGCAGAGCAGTAGCAGCACGCGTGAAGTACGGCACGGTCGACGTATGTGGTATTGTCTGCTACTTCCCACCCCACCCAAAGTCTCGAGCAGAGCATAGTGGGTATTTCAAGACAGTTGCAGTGCTCATCTCGTGGTTGGCTGTGATCTTGTGTTCTCTGCCAGTGCGGTGCACGCCGATCATCTTTACATATTTGAATGACGGGATTGGCGAGACTCGAGCGGACGGAGTGTGGTCATCAGTGAACAGCCCCGTGGTTGACACACCCAATCGAGAGTTATTTGCGAATGGTGCAGGACATCGCATGCGGCAGCTGATGGAAACCCACGAGTTTGTTGCAGCGAAAACGTTCGGCTCCGAGATTGAATCTACTTTTTTCGGAAATTCTGGGAATTCGAGAATTGATTACCTTTTTCTTCCACAAGCTATGCATACAGAAGTGGTATCATGTCGTGCACGTCTTAGGTTAGGCGCCACACTGCAGGCTGTTCGAGGAGTGTCGCCGCGTGATCATGTCCCTGTGGTAGCAGTTAGCCAATACGGTGCCGAGACGGAGATGGTACACAAAGAGGGCTGGGATTATGATCGTTTGATGCTATCGCTGCGGGAAGGTCGTGGGCGGGCTGAGTTCTTGGAGGTTCTCAAGACTAAGTTCGATGGCCTTCAACTGCAGTGGTTTCGTGATAACGCCGGCCCCGATGAGATCTTCGAGGTGCTCGAGAGATGTCTTTTGGAAGCGGGCCAGACGTGCTATGCAAAGGAGCGCGAACTTCGACCTGAGTATTCCGATGACTGTCTTCGTAGACGCACTCTTCTACAGCAACGAGTTGAACTTCGAAGTGGTAAGTTTCAAGCTACACCAGAGATCGCCCTCCAGATTGATCGTGAGTTGAAGGAGCTGACGCACCAGTTGTTTTTGGACACGAGAAGGGCTTCCCGCAGGCTCCGTAGTCAGCTCACATCTGAGGCTGTGGATTTGTGGCGTCGTGGCCGTACAGCTGAAGGAATGCGACTGGCTCGACGTGCTGCCCGTACCCGCTACGGGCCCAAGCGACGAGACGGCCGTCTTGTCCGCTGTGCGCCGCCCAGTCGTGAAGCGTGGCTTCAGGTGTGGAGGAGGAGTGGACCTGAGGGGGGAATGGAGGTGCAGGTGGACTCTTGGGAGAACTGGAGGGAGTCGAGGGTGGACACGGGGACGTACTACGCCGATGTGACAGATGAGGAGGTTTTAGAGACGGTGAAGGAGGACGTTCAGGAGATTCGTAGGTATGCACGGCGCGCTTCAAAACGGAAGGCTGTGCCTGCAGGTACGGCACCACTCGAGATCTGGCATCAGTGCATGTGGCCCAACTATCGTGTGCGTACGCGTGCTGGAGTAGGAGCTGATCGGAAGCTGATTTCACCGCAAGGCTTCTGGTTTCTGCTTGGGCTTGGGTTATCAAAGATGAGTGAATACCAGGAAGTTCCGCTTTACTGGAATAAGTCTCGGGGAGCGAATCTACCCAAAAAACTGGAAGAGGGCCCTAAAGGGGTCCGAGTGGTACACGTCCTGCCCTTTGTGGGCAAAGCATTCTTTGCGAAAAAACTCAAGATAATTCCCACGGTGGCTGATCATGGATGTGTCAAACATCGTCGTCGTGAAAACGCAGTACGTATTACATTAATTACCGGATGGAGGGCTAGAAAGATGGGGCCAACATATTGTAACACGTTCAAGGATATGAGTAACGTATTCGCCAGTTCCATCTGGTCTGAGTTGGACCAGACTGTTTCCCTAGCGGCTGCCGAACATGATCAAGGCTTGTGTCGGCAGAGGTACCGCTCGGCCATTATTGAGCTTGACGCACAGGATGGCTCCCTTCATGTGCGACCACGCATCGGAGGACCTATGGGAGATCCCTTTACAATGCAGGGCTTCCTGGGCACGTTTTCACGGGCAGTATTGCAGTGGAGCTACTCACTTTTTCGATCTGATCCCTCTGCTCGAGAGTTATTTGCATCTTTCTCTGGCCTGGTGGCCGACCTGAGTCTCACAAAGTACGCGGATGACTTACAGAAAATGATCTTGGCGGAGCCTGGTAGTACGCTACGGGACTTTCTAGATAAATTAACGGAGGTGGATGGGCTACTTGATGAGGCTTTAGAACCGTATGGATATGGGCAAAATCGCAGTAAGCAAGAGATGTTGTTTCACTTCGCACATCGTGTTTATCACGCACGTCGCGCACTTCGATGTAATCGTGCTTCTCTCCAGGGGACAGTATCTGATTGTGTTCGCTACTTGGGGCCGTTTCTGAAGTCCAGGGACACTGCACATCATGAGGTTACGAGGTGTTGCGAAATGGCACATGAAGCTTTTTATCGGTTGGGGGGAGTATGGCCTCTAGCATTATCTTACACATGGAGGCGCACGTTGTTGCAGGGTCAGGTGTACAATACCCTAATTAATGGCCTCGAACCTTTCGTTCTCCATCAAAGTGATTATGCACGGCTCGATCGGTGTATGTCTTCCCTGTGTCGGACAGCGATGCGGGGCAAGGCCACGCACGAGCGGGAGGACGGCACGGTCCGCTCTCTCAGCAATTTGCAGGTGATGAAGTTCTGGCGCTTTGTGGGCAGTAAAACAGAAATGATCATACGCCGTCTGAAGCTTTATCAGTCATGGGCTGCTCGTCCGAGTTGGCACGCTCAGACCCTGTGCGCAATGTTCGGCGCGCTCGCGATAGAGGAGAGGCGTGTGATTGAGCCTCAGCTTCAGGACGGGGTTCCCACGGCATCGGCTTCTCCGTGGGTGAGTCAGCTCGTTCAGGATCTAGAGTTCGCTTCTGAGAAACTGGAATATTACGCTATTGAGGAGCTTCTCTTGGATTTGAGAATTCTGGCTGACCTCGAGGCCGCCCAGGACTTCGTGAAAATCGATTTCACCGAACTTCGAGCTCGAGAATTTAGCGTGCGTATCCCTCCCCCAGTTGTACGTATGGCTACTACTACACAGGTGGAGGGCATGGAGGAGGAGAGCCAGAGGATCGAGGAGGTAGGCAACTACAAGTGCAAGATCTTAGATGACAAGGGCAACGTGTGCAACGCAATATGTCCTGATCGCAAGGCACTGCTTAACCATATGAGGGCACATCATCATGTACGCAACTTGCCTGCTGTACTAACGCCATGTAACATATGCATACACTGTAGACAACTATTCTCAACAACAGTGACAGCAAGACGGCATCTCCTTGGGTCAGTTCTTAAGGCAACTGCTCGACGAGGGGGCCGACCTCACTTTCAGCGCTTGTGCCTCCAGCTACCCATGATTGTCCAGTGTGTGAACATAAGTGTGCTGATTTGAATGATCTCTGCGGCCATCTCAGCGCACATCTACCTTGGAAGCTACAGCCTTTTCGGGAACGCCCGCCACCTTCCGCGAGTTCCTCCGCCACCGGTGGGCGCTCCCATGGCCGAGCTCTCGATGCCGTCGTGGTTCAACCCAGCGCAGGCGCGCCGCCCAGGCGGCGGAGAGGGCGAGAAGGATCCCAAGCTCGCGAAGACGGGCGGCGGCGACGGCAAGGGCAGCAAGGAGGAGAACCGCCACGCCAAGCTGCTCCTGCTCGTGGCGCGGCTCCTGCTGGCGACGACGCGCGGCATGGCGGACCTGGCAGCGGCAGTATTCATCGTGTACGAGATGGCGCTCCAGGCCTCCCCAGCGGCGTTGGCAGCGGCGGGCAAGTCTTACGACGTGAAGAGCAAGGAGCTCGCCGACAAGGCCAAGTCGGGCGAGACCATCGACCATCGAGCCAGGGGACCGCCACACCTACACATTTTCGCGGCGGGGATCCACTACATCGCGACCCGCCAGTGGGCCGAGGGCGCGAACGCAGAGAAGGAGAAGACGCTGAAGGCGGACGCCGAGGAGTATTGGGAGAACACCGTCTCGAAGCTGCCGATGGCCCAGATCGGTTGCGCCGTGAAGTACGTGAGGCTCAAGGTTCTGAAGAAGGGCGACGCGGACCAGCGCTGCCTGATCGTAATGCACTTCGACACGTCCCACGCGATCGGCAAGCAGGGTCAGGACCTGTACCAGCGCGTGATCGAGCTCGAGGGGGGGGAGAGGCTCCACGGGACGGCGCCGCGGGGCCCATTGGAGAGAGAGATTTCGTCGATCGTCAACTCCAAGTGATGTGGCAGAGTAGTGAGAGGCTAGCTTCGCTCGTGCAGAGAGGAGTGGTGGACCCAGCGGTAGCAGCACGAGCAATGTCAGGTGAGCGTACGATGCAGTCATATGTTCAGCCTGAGCTTCCTAGCATCCCTACTGTAGTATTGCCTCGTAGAGACTCTGGCCGTGGGAGGGGGAGGGCGGCGAGTCGTGGGCGGGGGAGGAGGGATGCACCGACCAGCGAGAGCCAGCAGCAGGGGTAACGACTCATGCCTGGCTGACTCCCGCGCCGTTCGAAGTCGGCCCTCGTTCGAGGTTGCGTGCCTCAGAGGTGTCGGCAGGCCAGTGCCTCACCAGAGGAGTGTGAGCTGTAGTTTTTGTTGAAGTCATGGTTTTCGTGAGGGCCGAAGCTACCCACTCCCAGAATCCCGTGTAAAGCTGTCGAGTAGTTCAGACAGTTGTGGATTCCGTGGGCTCGTCTCGTCTCGTCTCGCGTCCTCCTCCTCCTCCTCCTCCCCCTCCTCCTCCTCGCCGATCCTTCTGCGACTGCCGCTGCATCCGGCGCCGCTGCGCGCGCGTGCGCGGCTGGAACGCGGGCGCGTCCGAGCTGCCGCCGCCCTGCTCCGAGCCCGAGCCTGCGGCCTGCGCCAGGCGCGCCGGCCACGGGACCTCCTCCTCGCGGGAGAGGAGGAGAGACAGCATGGGCAGGAGCTTCCGGAGGCCCGCCCGCGCCCAGAGGTGCTCGCGTCGCAAGCAGAAATCAGGACGGCAGGGCTCTGCGTCGTTCTCGGCCTCCGGAGGCCCTTTGATCCTAACGGGCCCCAGGACCGCGGACAAACGGCTCGGGGTGAAAAACTGGTCCTGGGGAAGGGGGCGGGACACCCAGGGGCGCCGCATCACAAAGAAAAAAAAGACGCATGTCTGGGCGCGGATCTCTCTGTCCCGCGCTGGTCCTCAGAAGAGGCCTTGACAGGGACAAAATCAGACCGGGACACGTCGGGGATAGACTTGCGCGTTCGCAAAGCAACTGCTCGCCCATGTGTTTTCACGCTTGTCCCGCTCTGAGGCGTTAGGAGACCACGTGTTGTCACGCTTGTCCCGCTCTGAGGCGTTAGGAGACCACGCGTTTTCATGGCGTTCGGAACCCACGTGTTTTCACGCTTGTCCCGCCCTGTGGCGTTAGGAACCCACGTATTTTCACGTGTCGCAGCCACCCATGGGGGGAATAGCTAGCATGCGGTCGTCTGGGCCCCCAACAGCGGGGGGGAGGCACAAAAGCAAGAAGAAGAAGAAAACGAATCGACACCAAATGTGTAATAATTTGACACGTTCCGTCCTGGGGTCCTGGGGAGGCCTTCCGGGGCCTCCTGGGGCGGCCTCTGAAGCATTAGGAACTCACGTGTTTTCCCGCTTGTCCCGCTCTGAGGCGTTAGGAGACCACGCGTTTTCACGCTTGTTTCAAGCTGGGGCGTTAGGAACCCATGTGTTTTCATGCATGTCCCGCTAAGAACCCACGTGTTTTCACGCTTGACCCGCCCTGGGGCGTTAGGAACCCACGTATTTTCACGTGTCTGAGCCACCCAAGGGGAAATATCTAATTAGCATGTTGTCGTCAGGGCCCCCCAAAGTGGGGGGGCACAAAAGGAAGAAACAAATAACGAATCGGCACCAGATGTGTAATAACTTGACACGTTCCGTCCTGGGGCCCTGGGGAGGCCTCCTGGGGCCTCCTGGGGGCCTGGACACGTGAAAACACGTGGTTCCAGCTCGGGACCACCATGTTAGATACCCCCTGCTCGGCCTGGACACGTGAAAACACATGGTTCCAGCGCGGGACCACCATGTTAGATACCTACCTGGGTGGCCAGGACACGTGAAAACACGTGGTTCCAGCGAGGGGCCACCATGTTAGATATCCCCCCTGGGA